CAGTATTGTTTACTACTTCTATTTTTAGAAAATCACGAGTTTTGATATAACGATTGGGAAACAAAACAAATCATATGTGAGGAGGAAGTTTTAATAGATCTCTGGATCAAAGAGAGATAAATGGTATGTATCTTGTTTAGATTAGGCATGGCTATCAGGTAGCCCTCTATTCGGGATGTACTGAGAAAGTAGCTTTTAAAGATGGTGATTAAAAGGACCAATCCTGTTAATCTAGAATATGAAGAAGCACGTTTGAAATAAAGAACTATAAATAGCAGAACTATTTGTAGTCAGAGTCAGCTTAAAGTGAAGAAGACTTTAGAATTAACAATCATGTGATCGAGGCTTTGAAATCAAATATTCTAAAATTCAAATTAGATTTAATAGAGAGTTTTAAACTAGAGCAATAATATAAAGATATGCTTATTTTGAAGTTATATGCATATAATTTTTAGCTCTTAGTACAGGTTAAAGTATATTTTAATATGTAGTTTTTTTTCTTTTTGTCAGATAGCTCTATGTATAGATTTCTATAACTATATAGATAGTTTTCACCTGGTTAGCAGATTTTATATTTGAAAATAGGTTCTCATAGATTTTAAAATAGTATTTAAATTCTTTTATAATTTGGTTATTTTCTTTGTATGTTTGTTTATACTTTACCCCTTTTTCATTCTTTCTATACCTCTTTTTTTCTTTTTTACTTCTCTATGAAAAAGTGACATCAAATTGGCGACACTCTATTGTAGAGCAGTGATTCTGACAAAGTCGATGAAACCATTTGTTGATAGCTAGGGCTCATATTCTTAGTAAGTTGAAAATCCCAGAAAGAAGAAAATTATCACTTAGGTGGGTCGCTCCTAGATCATACTCTAGTATAGAATTTTGGCTTTGCTTAAATTTTATTGTAATAATAAGACAGATTGAGAGAATTTTTATTTGAACAGGTATAAAGTATTTAATAGTTAGTCAGTAGGATTAGCTATCTGTAATGTACTGCTGATATATAAAATAAAAGTAGGATCGCTAAAATAAAAAAAATAAAAAAAATATATAAATATATTGAATATTTCAATTTAATAACAGAATCTTTATATATTTCTGCTTTTTTAGATTCTAGATATAAAAAATATTGTTTTTCTAATATATATATTAAAGAAATTTTAATACCAATTAGAAAAAAATAAATTTACAACCAACCTTATTACTAATACCTAAAAAAACATCAAGTTTTTATCAAAAATCATCACAACAAATACAAACAATAGATGATAAAGTTTAAAAATATTGGTTTAATGCAGAAGCAAATGAATTTATAAAACTTTTGAATTAGTGAAGTACTCATATAGCAAAATACCCAATATTTTCAAAGCTTGCTTATGATTATTTATGTATTCAAGCTAGCTTAGTTCTATGTGAACAACTTTTTTCAATTGTTAGTCAAGTAATTAATAAATCAAGAAATAGATTAAGTAGTAAATTAGCTAGAGCATGTTTATGCTTATATAGCTAGTTATTAAAATATATTATATAATTTTATTAAATTAAAATTATTATATATTTATTTTATATCTATTTATTTTTATATATTTATTATATATACTGTATATTTATTGTCACAGATTATCATGAAATTGGATTATCGTGAAATTTGGATCTATTTTATATACGATTTTTAAAAATTTTTAGGATCTTTTTTGTAGACTTTTTTTTATAGTTGAGTTAGGATTTAGGGTTAGAATTATTAATAAAAGAGTATAGATGAATTTTGGTAGGGCTTATATTTTCAAATTGAGACCCCCAAATTTCATGATAATCTGATTTCATGATAATCTGTAACATTTATTTTATATGTATTTATTTATTAAATTATATATATTTTTTATTTAAGGTTTTTTTCCATTAGGTTTTTTCCTTAGCAATTTGCCTAAATTTTATTATTTTTTATATTTATATATTTATTTTTTTATTTATTAAGCATTTTAAATAAATTTTATATTATAAAATCTATATTATTTAATTTTAAGTTTGTATATTTTAATATTTTTTATTGAAATAAATTTTAAAAGAAAATTAATTATAATATATTTTGTTATATAGATAATATCAGGAAAATTTGCAGACAGATTATAATCAATTATAATTAGAAGATTATCATTGATTAATTGTACCCCTATCAAGTATAAATGATTATGATTACTAATAATATATATTAAAATTTTGTAAGTTTTAATCAAATTTTGACAACAATTTTTTTGATAACTGGTAGATAGAATTAGTTAAAATTTTTACTAAACATAGTATCAATATTCCTCTATAATATATTTAAATTTTATCTGAATTCATTTAGTAGTTCTCAAGTAATCGCTTCTATACAATAGTTAATTTTTTTAAAAAATTAATTATTTCATAGAAGTAATTACTTGAGAATTACTAGACCAATTTGGATAAAATTTAATTATATTATAGACAAATATCAATACTATCATTATTAAAAAAGTTTAGCTAATTTTAATTACTAGTTATCAAGAAAATTATTGTCAAAGTTTAATTATAATTTGTAAATTTTTTTAATAATCTAGAATTTGATAAATATTTCTTTAAATTAATTCTATAAAATATTAGAATTTGCTTAAAAAATTACAGATAATGACCCAAAAATGAAAATAATTACAAATACTTCTTAAATAACATATAAAAAATTATTTTATAATATCAGTTCATTTGATCTGATATTATAAAATAATTTTTACCAGGAATGTAGTGAAATGAAGTGTATGGCTTATAGACAAGTTGCTGTGTTCAAAATCTTGAATTCTATTATACAGTGTGATCATTGTATATACATCCTTTTTTTTAGTTATGGTTATTTATTAATTTTCTAGACTGATTGTTAGATATACATATGTATATGTCTAAAATACAATGTCGATTTTAACGATTTTAACTTCTTTTAACTCCAACTTATGCTTTTACTGACTATAAATACCATAATCGAACTTTGGATAAAGCAGTGATTGACCTAATCAAATACTAATACTTATAATAGCATATACGTCATGCTTTCTAGAATACGCAAATTAAATAATTTATTATTTTTATGCCCTTTGATGAATCTTTATTGAATATAAATTTATTATCTGCACTTAATGCAGAAATCAAACATCTAGAAGAATATGAAAAACAAACAACAAAGCTAGATAAATAGCCGGACGAATACTATGATCAAAACAATACTAGTTAACAAACTTTATATTTAATACATATCTAAACTCTAGGATAACAAATCTGCCAAAATACTTTTTTTAAAGAAATAAACTTATGCTATACAATTTAAAGTTGATTACTTATCTACTATTCAAAATTAATTACTTAAGATCTTTATTTTAAGCTCAGCCGCAAGATAAAAAAAAATATTAAATATATATGCTCCAAATACCTTATTCAATTTTAATTACATGACTATTAAAAATCAAATTAAAATAAAAAAATATCAACTAACAATAACAATTATTACGAAACAAAGCCAATATCAGCATAATTAAGCCCTCTAAATAGAATATAGTCACTCTTAAAAACAACAAAATCAAACATATAATACAGTAAACTGGTATGAACATAAATTTTAATCCTTGATCGCTCATTATGATAAAAAAAATTGTTTATCGTTAAAACATCTATTCAATAAATTATCGAACATACAGTTTCTGATTATGCATGACAGCATCGTGTAGCTATCTTATTTATATGTTGTATATCGGGTGAAGGATTAGTAGAGTAATATCGACAGTTTCTCCTGTTACAAACACCATTTCAAATATAAAATTATCGATCTGTATGATTTTATTACCATGAAAATGCTCATTTGGCCTTGGACAGTTATTTTGTTGAATTTACTTCTTATAAGTTCAGAACGAACAAACAAAATAAGCTATTGGCTATATTTTTTACAGATGAAACCAGTTCATGTCTTTTACTATTTCGGTTAATAAGTGCTAACTCTAAGATGGCTATATTCATATAGTAAGGCTGATTCCTTATGATCCAACTTGTTTAACTTGTTTAACTTCTATGGAACATTCAAAGTGTATAGATCATATCTTGTAAAGTCTATTGCGTCATTAGTTAAAGATATAGCAGGACTTCTACCTCATATTATAAATCATGTTCATTATGAAGTGGGGGCTGAGATATCATACACTGTAGCTTGGGAAGTAAAACTATTCGGCCACACAGTTAATTTTTCATTTTGCATTGCGGGATTTCAAAAATCTGTCAATCAGTTGGATTTTGTTTTTTTTTAATTCTGAATAATGAGCTATTACTCTAAAACATCTATTTAATTATGAAATAAAGCAATTAATCCTGATACCACTATATTTAAATCAGCTAGAAACTTTGATAGTATATTTGGGCCCTTATTTGCAATAATTTTTAAATATTAGGCTTTTATCTGTAATTATTTTCATTTCGGGTCCTTATTTGTAATTATTTTCGTTTTTGGGCTCTTATCTTCAATTTTCTCAAAAATTTTTCATCAAATTTTGACATATAGTTGTTGAGAAATTTTGTTCAAAGTTTAGAAAAATTTTTGCCACAAAAACGTCAGAAATTTTCTCTAAAGAATGAAATTTTCTAAATAACTACTCAATAGAATTTGATGAAAAATTTTTTAAATAATTTCTGTCTAATCCAATAATTTTATTTAAAAATTTTCCATCGAATTCCATTGAACAGTTGTTGAGCAAATTTGTCCAAAAGTTAAGAAAATTTTGTGATCTTTGATACGTGTAAAATCATGTGATCTGTTACGTGTCCATAGACGATCTACAATTTTAGTGTTTTAACCATCATAATGACTAAAATTTTTTCATCTACAACTTTTATTAGAAGTAGAAGAAGGGTTACAAAGCAAAAATCCAATTAATCGATTAAATAATCAATCAGTTATGACCGGTCATTTAACCTTATATAACTGACTGCGATCAACCGGTTGACCGTCAATAACCAGTAATGACTAACCATGATCGACCGAACCCATCTCTAGCTAAAGTTACTACATTTGATGACTTTTTGTTCTGTTTTTCTTTTTCTATCCTAGCCTCATTCTCCTCAAAAGCTTTCATAATCATTTTATCAAAATTATCCTTAACTGAAATTAAGAGATTGCTCCTCAGATCAACACTATTCTAATTTGTTACCTTGTCAAAAAAATATCTATATTCAAATGTCATTTTATTTTCCAGTGATACATACTGTAAGATCAAATCTCTGAACAATATTTATGTTCAAAAGCATCATAGAAAATTCATATACGGAACACCGATCACTTTTAAAAAGTCAACTCACAAGCACTCATATTTTATTTACATTGTTCTAATATGTACACATTTTTTTATTTTCTGATGCATTCATTATACATGCTAAATAGATACACATTACATAAATGAAAACTTTTGATATTGTAAGTTACTTTTGAATCATAATTAGAAACTAAAAAAATTAAAACTGTAATTGACAAGGTCGATGCTAATTACGACTCTTTGAAACTATTTTTTTAAAACTTGGTGTTGCAAGAGTACTATGCTTGCTTGGTTCCTTTTTCTCTGTAGACATAATATAGTTGGACCAATATGTATTTAAAATGATGAGAAGCATATCAAGGCTGGTGAGAAAAGCAGAAACTTGTTCAAGTAACATAGACACATCAACGTGACCAACTTCCACCATAACATATAAGGCATCACACACAAAAGAGTGGTGAGATAAAATGTGATATGATGCTCTGGAGTACAGAACAATTGTTCAGTGATGTGTGATCTGAAAAAAAAGTTATTGTTGGAAACTCACCGACAATTTGAAATCTGAGTATGCAATTCATATTATAAAAATTGATCGCATTTTTGTTAAATATAGCTATCCAGATGAGATTGGTGCAAAGAAAGTAAAGGCTATTCATCTCTTCTTGAACTTTCGCTTCACCATGTTTTTTGCTTAAGCTCCAAGATAGCTGATTGATTTCGTTGATAATAGCATCTGGTTGTTTTGCTTTGCTGACTAGTTTTCTAGCTTTTGACTTCACAGCCTCTTTATTTGACCTGTAGTATTCCTATTGATTAGGAAATATATATATAAAAATATATCAAGTTTAAGAGCTTACTATTGCAAAAATATACTGCGATCAGGATCCGTAAAATGCAGGCTGAGAATTGTGTCAATATAAGTGGTACATAGCTCCACCTCTTCAATAGGACTTTTTAGTTTGAGTCTTGAAACTCTTTCGATATTAATAATTAAAAATAAAAACTGTGTTTAGTATTGAGTACTGTAAAAATCTTCTGCTTCATAATTCATTACATTACATATTTTTTATAGCCTTTAGAATTGTGCATTCTCCATAAGAATAGTCAACTATAAGAGTTTGCAGTTCTGAAACTGCATCGTCTCTTGTAATTTCTTTTCATTGTAAACGCTGTGGCAAGAATGAGTGCATAAAATTTTTTACATCAAATATGTGTAAAGAAGATATATACTTTAACAATACGAACAAGCTTTATCAATAATTTATTATCAAACTCTGTTTCTTGTTTGGTAAATTTCTGTATGATATGTTCGTGCATTGTTACTAGTAACTCATCTCCAAAAACTTCTACCATTAGCAGGCAATATTGTCTAGACTTAAGCAAAAGGATATGCGATAGTGACCTATACATTATAAAATTAGCTTCTGCAATAATTATCTTAGTAAATAAAAAAATTGAAAGCATACAATATCTGCTGTGTATGGCTTTCCACAAAAAGGCCTTCTCTATTTGCCAATTCTAATAATTTTTCTTTAAACAAATACCATTGCTCAGAGATATCTGTTTCATTTATGAACTATCTGGACTCTTTTTGAGGCAATGGTCCCAATTCTAGTCCCATGACATAATTGATTATTGCTAACAATTAGGCACAATTTCAGTATCTGAAAGTGACAAAACAGATTTATTCCCTTTGTCTAAATTATTCTTAGATCCTAAAAACAGATTATTTTTAGCTAGTTCACTTAAGCAAAATAAATGATAACTGATTAATAACAAATAGCAATAACGAATAAAAAACATAATGAA